TCCACTTATAAAATAAATTAAGTTACAGGGATATAAAGTACAGTAGAGGGAATATAGTCACTAGTACTGTAATAAGTTTGTGCGGTAACAGATTGAAACTACACTTACAGCGGTGAACATTTTGTAATGCATATAAACGTTGAATCACTATGCGATACACCTAAAACTAGTACAACAGTATATGTTAACCATATTTTGACTTTAAAAACTTTTTTAATGTTTATTTTTAAGAGAGAGAGAGAAAGACAGAGTGTGAGTGGGGGAAGGGGCAGAGAGAGAGGGAGACACAGAATCTGAGGCAGGCTCTAGACTCTGAGCTGTCAGCACAGAGCCCAACTCGGGGCTCAAACTTAAGAACTATGAGAGCATGACCTGAGCTGAAGTTGGACGCTTAACCGACTGAGCCATCCAGCTGCCCTTCAATTTAAAAAAATAAATAAATAAATCAACCAAATACTGAAAGAAATGGGAAGCCAGAACCTAGTGACAGGGAGAAGTCTATCTACAGTTTAGTCAAGGCGACCAGAAAGGTACGGCCATCTTGGCCAATACCCAGTCTTTTCTCTTTTGGAGAACACCAGGGGCCTTACATTTAATGGTACTAAAAGTCACACTAGAAAAACAATCCAGTTTTAGTCAGGGTCTCTCTTTTAAGTCAGAGTACCTTTGCATCCTTTGTGCCGACCTTTGGCAAGAAAATAAATACTGTCTTCTCTAATTTACCTGCAGTTCTTTCAGTGCAGTGGTGGGCAGAATGGGTGAAGAAAGCCTCGTATAGGGAGTATTTTAAACTCTCTGGGCTCCTGTGTGGATGTGCTGTGTGCATTTACACAAAAGACGTTCCCCTTGTGACCTGGACTTACAAGGAATGGGAGAGGAGACATGTTCTCCAGAGAGCATGGATCTAGTGAGGGAGCCCTCTTATCAAAACAGAGTTTTATTACAAAATTCAATACATAAAAAGAAACAGAAGAGCCGCTCTAGTTGTCCTGCCTCCTTGGCTCCCCTCACTCTCAGAAGTGGCTCTGTGCTATCACTGGGGAGTATTCAAGGGGACACTTGGGGATCTAAATCCCATCAAGCGCTGGAAATCCCAAGTGTATTTATCTCCTTCCCCGACATCTTTTCTGAACTTCAGACACACATATTCAGTTGCCTCTTTGACACATTCACTTGAATGCCTTTTAAAGAATTTGGGAGAGGGGCACCTGGGTGGCTCAGTCGGTTGAGCGTCCGACTTCAGCTCAGGTCGTGATCTCGCGGTTTGAGTTCTGCATCAGGCTCTGTGCTGACAGCTCAGAGCCTAGATCCTGCTTCCTGCTTCAGATTCCGCGTCTCCCTCTCTCTCTGCCCCTCTCCTGCTCATGCTCTGTCTCTCTCAAAAATAAATAAACATTAAAAAATTTTTTTAGTAATCTTTGTACCTAACATGAGGCTTGAACATACAACCCCCAAGATCAAGAGTCGCAGGCTCTTCCGACTGAGCCAGCCAGGTGCCCCTTCACTTAAATGTCTTATAGGTGTTTCATACAATATATTTTTCTCATCTCATTAAATCCCTATCTCACTACTCAGATGAGCAATTCAGAAATGTGATTTCCATTTCTTCTTATCCTTCCATTGATCTGTTGTTCTACCTATCCCTTTAATTCCCAAATATACGCTTATTCCACCCATAGCCGCCACCCTACTCCAAGCCACCGCCATCACTTTCCTGAGCTTTGGCAAGGGCCCATGACAGGTTCACTTACTTTCTCTCACACGTACATTCCCAGGGCTACTTTTCTGCTTAAATCACGTCACTGCATTCTCATTTATTGTCTAATAGAACATAAGCTTCTCAGCAGTGCATACAAAGCCCAAGGGATCTGGCTTCTGGCTATTTTTCAGTTTTTCAGAGCCCACCCCAGAATCTTTATTCCTTGCTCATCACCCTCTGATGGTAAACACAAAACGTCTTGGGACTCTGGCCCTTGCTCTTCTCCTGGATCCTCTAATTCATGGATCCTCTGCACCTCTGCATGCATCACAGTCCAGCTGAACATCGCTTCCCATGGTGCCTGGGTACCTAGCTTCCCTCTAATCCAGTTACTCTCCATTCACCATCATGTCGATGCCCTTGAGAGTTTTACAACCCCAAGTGTGATTCATGAACCAGCAGCATGAGCATCCCTGATGCTCTTCATGAGACTAGGAGCTTGTGAGACATGCAGAACCCCAGCCCCCAGCCCCCAGCCCCCAACCCCCAGCCCAGGTCAAAAGAATCAGAATTTGCATTTTGACAAGATCCCCAGTAGATGTAAATGAACATTAAAGTTTGAGAGTATCACTTTGAAGTACCGATCACCAAGTATATTTCTTTCGCTGTGCACTTGCTTGTTGACCTTTTCCATTAATAGTGTGAACTCCATGAACATCGGGTCTCTGTCACACGGGTCTCTGTGCCCCGTGTTTAGCACAATGCTTGGCATATGGTTGACAATCAATACATATTTGATCAACGCAAGGTTTAATCTAACTTCCTTAACTGGTCCATGAAGAAACTGAGGGCTTGGAGAAGTTATATAGCTGTTATTAACATGGCCAATGCAAAAAAAGAGAAGAGTATTCTTGACTCCTAAGAAATTGTGTGTGTGTGTGCGTGTGTGTGCGAGCACACACACGTGCACGCATGCCCTTGAAACCAATTGTTCTGGATAATGTGACAAACAAACCTAAAATTTCCATGGGCTATTGTCCCTCTGCAGACTTCTGATACTACTACTACCAATGATTACTCATTTATATTTTACTTTATCATTCATGATCCATTTTCACATACACTGACCTAGGGGGAAATTTACCCTGAATTACTGTCCTAGGTTTTCTTCCATCAAGAGCAGAGAAAATCGTACACAGAGCCAGCAAGTGTATGGGGTTTCTTTATTAATAGATCAAGACATCACTGAAAGAAGCAAAAGAGAAGAGAAAGCAAAATTTCTCACAAGAATGAGTGTCAAAGAACCAATTTAGTGGAGTGGACAGCTCTTGGGCTCGATGAGACGTCCCTGGTAGGGGTTGGCAGGCAGTGGTTGGAGGGTGTCCAAGGTAACCCAGTGATCTAACATGGATTTTGCTGAAGCGATCCCTGATTTATTTTAATTACCACTGGACTTACATTTAGTTCAGTGGATGGTTCTGTTTCACTAGAAAAACTCCTTCTATTGTTAAATTTTGCTTGTCACTCACAGTTGCAAGTTTAGTTATTCTTAGCTCCTAATTGGCGTGCCACAAGTGAACCGTAACATTGAATTGGGATTCTCTGACCCTGATATTCCCCTTTGCTTTGAAATATATATTCACTGGTGCCAGAGGCGTTCACCACATACCCTGAATCTGATTTTTTCTCCTATAAGAGGAAGGGCGGTGTAGGGGAGATGGTTCTAATGACAAGGATGTGGTTGATAGAGAATCCATGTTCTAAGAGTATGTTCAGATCATTGTCCACAGATAAGAAAGTGACTTAAAACCAGCCAGTCCAACCTGCCTCCGACACAGGGGCTTGATATACTGATACAGAGTCCTACATGTGGCCATCCATATAAACTTTTATTTTTATTTTTATTTTTTTGAAAGAGAGAGAGAGAGAGATAGCAAGCAAGCAGGGGAGGGGCAGAGAGAGAGAGGGCGACACAGCATCTGAAGCAGGCTCCAGGCTCTGAGCTGTCAGCATAGAGCCCAGTGCGGGACTCGAACTCACAAACTGTGAGATCATGACCTGAGCTGAAGCCAGACACTTAACCGACTGAGCCACCCAGGCACCCCGAAATAAACTTTTTTTTATTGTGATAAGATAACGTAACATAAAATTTACCATTAATATATAAAATAACCATTTTAAATATATAATCCAGTGACAGTAAGTACATTCATGATGGTGCAGAACCATCATCACTATCCATTTCCAGGTTTATCCACATGGTAGCATGTTCCCAAACTTCATTTCTTTTTATGGCTGATTAATATTCTGTAGTATGTCTATACCACATTTTGTTCATCCGTTTATCTGTTGATGGCCGCTTGGGTCATTTCTGCCTTTTTACTACTGTGAATAATGTTGCTATAAACATAGGTGTAAAAATATTTATGTCCCTGCTTTCAATTCTTTGGGGGTATATACCTAGGAGTAGCATTCGTGAATCATCTGGTCATTCTAGGGTTAGCCTTTTTTGAAACTTTTGAGAAAATTTCTTTTTAGAAACTGCTTTCCATAGTGGATGGACCGTTTTACATTTCCACCAGGATGTGCAAGAGTTCTGATGTCTCCACGTGGTTATTGACACTTTTCAGTTTTGTTTTATTTTATAATGGCCATCTTAACGTGTGTGAAGTGGTATTTTATTGACATCTAGGTATTCTTAAACATTTCTTGAGCCAGGGAGTTCAAAACAACACAAGGAAGCTGTTGCGGATCATCCTTAGTTGTTAGAAAGTCCTACTACCCAATTACTAAATCTTACCTTTCTCTGACAGTGATTCTCAACCCTGATTGTACATCAGAATCACTTGAGAGCTTTTAAAAATTCCAGTATTTAGACTGCCAAACCCAGACCAATTAAATCGGTGTCTTTGAGATTGGAGTCCATGCACCAACACTTTTTAAAGTTCCTTAGGTGATTTCAATATGTAACCAAAGTCGAGAACCACTGCTTACTCCCTGATCACTGGTCCCACTTCATTCCACAGATCTGCAGGGCATAAAGTGTGACAATCCTATCACAGAGCCTTCTGTGACAACTCTTATTGTATAGCCGGCCCTTCTTCCCCCTCTGGCAGTCCTGTCCCCCTCTCCCTCCTAGATTTTTTTTTTTTACCATAGCGTGTATTACTGGCTGATACTTTACATATTTTCTTATTTATTTATTCATTGTCTGTTCTCTGTTTTGCTTATCTGCTTCCGCAAGACATACAACAATGCCTAATGCAGAGTAGGTGCTCAGAAAAGATTGTTGAATGAATGAATGCATGAATCTGCTCTCATTTCAGATGACACTGCTTCAAGGTAGTTAAAAATAGCTTTTGTGTCTTATCTTTGGGCCTTCTCTTCTCTAGGCAGAATCTTCTGTGTGCCTTCAACCAGTCTTCAAAGATGTTGAAGAATAAACTTTCCCATTATGAAAGCAGTATGATTTTCTTTTACTTAATTAGGCAATAACTGAGCATTTCCTATGGACTACGCATACACATACACATACATTATATACATATAATGTGTATGCACCTATTACAGACTAGACGCTGTGCTGGGACCCGGGAATTGCAGTGAAAAAGAGAGCCAAAGGCGCTGTGAGGGGGGGGGGGGCAGTTGGGGTCACAGGCAGTAATTAACAACAGAAGTCATTTCGGATAACAAGTGGTTCAAAGAAACTGCAAAATGTTTGTGGCTTGTGGCACATTAAACAGGGCTTAACTTGACCAAGACTTGAGTGACAAGAAGAAGCCAGCCCTGAAGAAGCATTCCAGGAGGCAGGCACAGCAAGGACAGAGGCTTTGTGAGGGGAAGATGTTTCCAAAGGGTTCTCAGTCAGAGCCTCTGAGAAGAACAAGGGGAAACCCCACTCACACCCTCTTTGTTAGACACTTTACTTGAAGTAACATGGCCTAAGATCACATTAGTTTGGGGTCGCTGTATCACCCTGCTGAAGTCTTTTTCCTCATGCATCAAATCTTCCCTGTTCAATACTTGTAACACGTGGAGAGTTGGAACTTGGATGTGGAAGAGTGATTTAGATGAACATAATTTGAATTTCTTTCTATGAGCATTAGTCATAATGACTTCAATCAATACGAATGCTTGTCAGCAGAGTGGAGGACCTTGATGATTCTCCAGCCACTGTAATACTGGTTCCTTATTCCGGTTGGCACCCTATCTTCCATGCCAGGCCTAATGGAGAACAATTTGGGATGAGGCCAGAGCTAGGAATTGCTGGGCTGCGCCATTTGGGGCCAGTGGCCATCTTGGTTTTCAAAGTAGCTCAGTCAAGATTGCTGTTTCTTGCTGCTTGGGACCGTGTATTTCCAGGCTCATGGGACAAGCAGTGTCTCCCAGGCCAGACACTAATACACTTCAACAATTGAGTTCTCCACTCTGGGCCTCAGCTGCTCCATGTTGAAATGTAGGGTTTGGGTCTGAGAGTCTTGAGACCCTTTGAAACGTGATTAAAAAAGAAAATTTTATTACTACTCTATTAAAAACAAACTTTTTTCTACAGCTTTTTAATAACCTACAGATTTTATGCTTTTACTGATGAAGACACTTGCTTCCAAGTTAATAAAACAAAATGCCAAGTTTACAGTAGGAGAGCAGGGTTCATAGGATCAAATCAGATGCTGAAATTGACGAGAACACAAATTTGAGCTATTCTATCACGCACCAAAAGAAATGTGATTCAGGGCAGTTGAAAGGAATCCCTGAGCTTATTGATTGGTTGCTATCTTTCCAGTGGAGTTCACAGAATCCGAGATCAGTTGATTCAGGTCAACTTTTTGCTAGAACAGCCCTCAAGCCCTGACCTCTCCCCGCGACAGCCCACCTGCACATGGCGGCTTCTGCATGGGCAAGGGTGGGGCCCTGGAGACAGGTTGACCTTCTATTCATGCATATCCTGCTTTCAGTTACTGGCATTCATTCACCCAACATGAACTTCCCTTCATCCGACAAATGTGAGTGATGCATTGAGACTGAACTGATGAGTGGATAAAATGGGCAATTTCTCTGCCTAGTGGAGCTCACATTCTGGCTGGGGAGGTGTGCGCAGCAGGAATCAACCAAATAACACTTCTGAGTGCAGGCTGAGGTGAGTGCTCCGAAGGAAAGCCACAAGTTCTCTGACGGAGTATAACTGTGTAATGGCAGGCAAGTTACTTCACCTCTCTGAGCCACCACCTCCTCGCTATGTAGGAGTTAAAGGGGATAATATGTAAAGTGACAAGTATAGACATTGACATATACCAGGTGCACAGTAAATGTGTATTATGGCTGCTGACGGTGCAGCCACCTTCCTGAAGATAAATGAGGAAAAACTTAATTTCCTTTCCTGTGTCTCAGAGTTCCCTTCAATTCTGTGTGTGTGTGCGCGCGCATGCGTGCACATGTGCGTGTGTCTTCCAGTTCCAAGGAGGGTTTTGGGTCAGTGGAGAAGGTCGTGCTGCTCACGTTTCTCTCGGCGGTTATCCTGATGGCCATCCTGGGGAACTTGCTGGTGATGGTGGCTGTGTGCAGGGACAGGCAGCTCAGGTGAGTAGCAGGAAGAGACCTCCCAAGGAAACCGGGGTGGAGTTCGAGGCTCTCCCTGGAGAGCTGGGGTCTGAACTATGAATCCCATTACAGTCCGAATTGTGAAAGGGAAATGGTCTTGGCAAAACAGAGCAGGGAAGAGATCACACGTGACTTCCCCATGGTAACATAACCGGTGTAAGCACTTATGTGCGTCTCGATCCTGTCTTTTTTCCTGTGTTCAACTTTGGGTTTGGGCAGGGGAGGGGGGGATTGGTAATTGTTGTGATCACTATGTATATACAATAGTTGAGAGCATATCTAATGTAACCTCCCCAGTTTATCAGTGGTTCAGAGAGGGGCAACTGCCCAGTGACTGATCTGGATTGAAATCTGTATCTTCTGCTCTTTCTACTTCGTCAATCTCAACCCAGCTGCAGTTAAAATCACCAGAAGACCTTTTGAAAATTGCTAATGTGTAGCATGAGTATGTATCATGCAGTATCTGGAACATACTTATAGTAAATAATTATCCATTGTTATCTGAAATTGAAATTTAACTCAGAGGCCTATATTTTATCTGACAACCTTGGGGCGGGGTGTTAATCATCCAAAGTCTCTGAACTAATTGATCTGGTGAGAGACCTGGGCATCAATATTTATAAAAATTCACCAGGTGATTCTGGTGTCGAGCTTGGATCGAGAACAACCAGGCCATAAAACAGGAAAAAAGATACAGTCCTGCCTTATCTAGAGCCTTCCTCTCTAAGCCAGGTGGGCATTAATCCACTTAGGATGCAAAGGAAAGTGTAAAAGCACAGTGCTGGCCCAAATGGGAGGCACACAGCAGTCAACTGTCAGTCTAAGAGTGGAAAATGGTGGAATTTGACACCATTTGTGAGGAGGGTGCTTGGGAGGGCCCCCCGAGAATAACCAGACCAGGCCAGAAGGAAAGGGCTGGTGGGGAGAGAGAGAAGCCTGTGTAGAGGCCCTTGGGAGGAGCGTCATGCCTCCTGAACAGGGGCTCAAATCAGGCCGCAGGAAAGAAGATGAGAGGGATTAGGGTGCAAGGAGGCCTGGAGATATGAGGGGTGGCTGGACCACACACGCTGCATGACAGTGGGGGAAAGGGAATTTCACAGAATGCATTGCATGTTTGACTTTTCTTTCTTTTGTCTCTCTCCCTTCTTTCTTTGTCTCCTACTCCTCTTTTCTTCTCTCCTGCCCCTTTCTCCCACCTTTTCCTTTGTCTCTCCCCATGCCTTCTCTCTTATACTTTTTTCTCACAGGAAGATAAAAACCAATTATTTCATCGTATCCCTCGCCTTTGCGGATCTGCTGGTCTCGGTGCTGGTGATGCCCTTTGGTGCCATCGAGCTGGTTCAAGACATCTGGATTTATGGGGAGATGTTTTGCCTGGTCCGGACATCTCTAGATGTCCTGCTCACGACAGCATCGATTTTTCACCTGTGCTGCATTTCTTTGGACAGGTAAGGACAGAGCAGTGTGACAGCAGAGCTCCGTGCTGGGACAAGGACCTGATGACTATTGGGCCATGCCTTTCTTCCTTCCCTAATTCATTAGAAGTGATAATCTGGTTACTTACTGATTCCCCCACTAACTAGTCTTTGCAGAGGGCTCTTTTTTAGTCAGGCCCTCCCTCAGATCCTGCAGACACAGAGGTTTGTAAGGCTTGGAACACAATCTAAAGAGTGAGAGGTACTGGCAGTCAGTTCAGGGTAGAGCTCTAAATGTATGCTGATGGCACAAACAAACTCTGAGGGAGCAAGAAGTAATATGCCTGGCCAGGAGGCAGCCGGGGCAGTTCAGAATGATAGCTTGATGTTCAAACATGACCTCCTCCCCCAAAACATGTCCATATCATAATTTTATATGCATATTTAGGTATGTGCATGCAACTGTGGAGAATCTTTTCCAGAAAGTCAAAGATGATTTTAAAATCCCCTATAATGATTTGTTTCGGGAATGCACGGCTAGCATTGAATTCCTTTGCATAACTTTATTCCTTGGCTTCACATTTGACTTCACGAGGCTGGCTGATTTCCATCGTTGCCTTATTTGTTTGAGATGTACATTAATCAGTGGTATTTGGGCCTTTTGTTTTCCAATTCCTGCTCATTTGTAATTAGTCATAAAAGCAGAATGCGGTTTAAAGGTCAGCTGATTTACAGGGTCATAGGCCGCCATCTTGGTATTGGTATCAGAGGGATAGTTCCCAAATTCTGATAACGTGTGCCAGTAACATGTTATCAGAATTCCCAAGGGACAAGCCTTTCCAGTTTCTGGAGGATCCAACAGACCCAGTTATTCTTCCAGTCTAGGGATAGGTCACTGTGTCTTTAACAGTGGAATAGGAAAAGCACTTGACTAAAATTAGATTGTGATGTATCTAAAATATGTGTCCTTAAACACTAAAATCAGTCTGTCCAGAGAATTACTGACACTGGAGAAGGTCCTGAGGGCCTGAAGCCAGCTGTGGGAACAGCGGATTCATCTCCTGTCCCGTGGGATGGATGCTTATTGATTGGAATGGCAGGTGTAAGGGCCTGCTCTATTTAAATTGTGCAAATTCTTTCTCTCTCTTGCTCTGCCAAGAACATAGAGTTGAATGTGCTTAAATTAAATGTACGTCTAATGAGACTCTATAACTACAGATAGTGACATTGGTAAAACTGAACCGTTCATTGGCAAGCAGACCCAAAGTGTGTCATAGTTTGAAACTTGTGTTTATTAGCTTGTTGACAATGGTCCAACTTCAGTACATGAAACACTTTAAGACAGTCACTATACACCGTATTAAAGTTCACATGAGAAGAGACAAAATGTAAGGGAGTACAACATACATGGAAATCTTGAGGGGTAGCTGACATGTGATTATTCCAAAATTGAGTGCTGAGACTGAAAGTATTGTAGGGACTTGGAGAAGACAAATTCGAGAAGATCGTGGGACACAGAGGTAACCTTGAGCTTTGGGTAAGAGCAAGGGGAAGAAAATGAGCTGAGTAGGGAGTGTAGAATGGGGCGATATATAGAATCATCTTCCTAGTATGGACAATTGACTCTGAGCGGCCCTGAGAGAGGGAATGAAGTTTCCCCAGGAAGAGTTGGCTTCAGAGTTCTAGATGAACTATCAGGTGCTTTAGAAATCATGGAATTTTCCCCGAGGAGGCAGCATTATCATGAAGCAGCATGGTCTGGTCATGATGAACCATCTGCTTTAGAACTGAAGAGGTTTGGATTCAAACCCCAGCTCTGCCAGTGTTTAGCTCCGAGAATGGTCTTAAGTTATTAAGCTTTTCTGAGTCTCTGTTTTCTCATCTCTAAAAGTGGGGGCAATAGCACCTGTCCTATAGGATTGCAGTTAAGAATAAGTTAGATAGGGGCACCTGGGTGGCTTAGTCGGTTAAGCGTCCGACTTTCACTTAGGTCATGATCTCGCGGTTCGTGGGTTCGAGCCCCGCGTCGGGCTCTGTGCTGACTGCCAGCTCAGAGCCTGGAGCCTGTTTCAGTCTGTGTCTCCCTCTCTCTCTGACCCTCCCCTGCTCACGCTCTCTCTCTCTTTCCTAGAAATAAATAAATAAAAAAAAAAGGATTAATTTAGATAGTCCATCAAAGGTGTAGCGTTGGCCCAGCTTGGCACAGTACACAATGCTGGTGGATGTTAATTTCAGTTTCCTGCAACTATTGATGCACCTCCTGATCTTTCTTACCAAACTTGGACCTCCTCAGTGAATAGCTGCTCCAGCAGCTGCTTCATCCAGAAATCAGGTAGTTATGCTTCTTGCGGTATTTAATCAATAAGTCCTACTGATTTTCTTTGCTAAACACATCCTGCTCTGTCTCTCTCCATCTTTTATCATGCTAGTCCAAACTAATGCCATCTCTTGCATATGCCGCTTCAGCAACCTCTGGATCGTTCTCCCCACATCTACTTTATCCTCCTCCACTCTGCTCACCTCTTATGAGATCTCATAGCCAGAGTCAACATGCAGCTCTGATCTTGTTGTTCTTTGCTTACAACCCTTCCATGGCTATTCACTGCACTGAAGATCAAGACCAGACTCCTTGGCCCGTAGGGTTTTGTGCCATCTGTTCCCCGTCTGTGTCCCCAACCTCACTTGATGCCCTTCACCAGCTTTACTCCCTGGGCTGCAAGCTGTCTTTGCCTCCTTTCTCTCTCCAGTGCTCTGTGCACAGCCACCTTATGGCCTTGGCTCCTCCCTCAGCCTGGAAACTCCTTTGCCCCCTCCTGTCTTGCATATCTTTCAGACTTTAGCTCAATCCTTTCCTCCTTCTGGAAGCTCTTCCTGATCTCATCAAACTGATTCTTCTTTGTAAAATGTAGTGCAGTGGTTAAAATCTATTCCTTTTTTTTTTTTGCATTTATGCTCTTTTATTGAAGTATAATTAACATGCTGTGTTATATTACTTTCATGTGTACACATAATGCTTCAACAATTCTATGTATTATTTAATACTCACTGTGATAAGTATAGTGACCATCTGTCACCACACACAGTTATTACAATCTTATTGACTATGTTCCCTATGCTGTGCTTTTCTGTGATGAGATGGAAAAAACTGGAAGTTTACACCTCTTATTCCTCTTTATCTATTTGACCCATCCCCATCTCCCCTCAGGCAACCCCCAGTTTGTTCTCTGTATTTAAGAATGGGGGGGGGTGACTCTTTTTTTTCTCTGTGTTTGTTCATTTGTTTCTTATATTACACATATGATTTCACTCATATGTCTCTATCTCCACCAAGGGGAGAAAGTGCAAAGACATGAGTAAGGACAAGGTCCTCACCCTCATGGAACTGACCTTTTAATGGGAAAATTAACAACTAACCAAGAATTACATAAATAATGATTTAGGGATTTTGTAAACACTATTCAACAAATGGAGTGTTCAGTACACTCTTTTTTTGAGGCAATTCTCTCAAAAATTCCTTTTTGTGCTGCCATTAGTTCCATTTCCTTCTCCAATAGTGGACATCAAAAACTCTGATACCATACATAAGATGGAGTCAGATGGTTTCGTTGGGTTGGTTTTCCTCAGGGAGCCTGGGAAGGTTGCCAATTCTTTCTAGCATCTTCTGTCCCAAGAATGATATTCTCACTGGAATGGAAGGTCCACCCTGAACATGACAACACTACATCTTAGCCTGGAAGCATAAGCTTTTATTTATCATTCAGCTTCTATTTTTGCTCTGTCCATCCCCGCCTGACAGTTGGGCTGGGCCAGAGCACAGGGGGCTTGTGTCATTGGGGTGTGATGCCATTGTTCATCGCGTGATTCGGGTTAAGATGTTTGTCTTCCTCTCATGGAACTACCATGAGTCTATGGGGATTAGTGATCTCAGGTAGTGCTTCCCAGGCAAAAACACTCACTGAGATTCTTAATTCCTCCCGGATGGCAGACCCTTGGATAAAAGCAAGAAGCAGGACTCCATTAATATTAGAAAATGCCTTTTCCCAACCACAGTGCTCCATCCACTGTACTTCCTGGTGCTTTGAGACTTGAATCCAATTAATGAAAGTTTATTGCCTCATTAAAAATAATTTCCAAAGCATAATTAAACTACATGCATCGTATAGTGTGGGTCATGGGAGACCAGAAAACTGCATTAAAAGCGCTATAGTACAGTTGATTATTTTGTTTTTGTTTTTTTTTTTAATTTTTTTTTTAATGTTTATTTATTTCTAGGAGAGAGAGAGAGAGACAGCGTGAGCAGGGGAGGGTCAGAGAGAGAGGGAGTCACAGACTGAAACAGGCTCCAGGCTCTAAGCTGGCAGCCAGCCCAGAGCCCGACGCGGGGCTCGAACCCACGAACCGCGAGATCATGACCCAAGCGAAAGTCGGACGCTTAACCGACTAAGCCACCCAGGCGCCCCACAGTTGATTATTTTGAATCAAAGGTTCTGTGGTGAATGAAAACCAACCAAGTATCTGTAATAAGGGACTGTTTTTAATCTAGCCACTAAAAACCATGAGAAATAGCTATGTGTGTTGGCCCTAGAAAGATATCACTGGTGTGGTATTGGGTGGCGGGGGAAGCAAGAGTCAGATTTTAGTGTTTAGAATGATTCCACTTTTGTAAAATAAATATAGAGATATTTGTATTTAGGTATACATGAGTGTGTGTGTGTGTGTGTGTGTGAGAGAGAGAGAGAGAGAGAGAGAGAGAGAATGAGAATATGAATGAAATTGCACCAAACCATCAACAATGGTTATATGTAAGGTAGTTAAAATGGTCCCGGCTAGACTAGGTGATCAGATGGATCGGGGATGGGACCCATCACTTTTACTAACTTCTAAAATATGTGTTTTAAACTTTAAGCTTCCCTTTGCTAGAAATTGAGCACAGAAGTGTCCCGGATAGCCTTTGGCTGAAAGTGCTTCTAGACCAGCACATTCTCCAGTCACTGAGAACATTCTAACCTTAGTGTTAGGAGTTCCCTCTGAGA